CCTAAGAGCGATGGCCTCCAATCTAAGAGCGATGGCCTCCAACCTAAGAGGGATGGCCTCCAACCTAAGAGCGATAGCCTCCAATCTAAGAGCGATGGCCTCCAATCTAGCAGCCATGGCTTCCAACCTAAGAGCGATGGCCTCCAACCTAAGAGCGATGGCCTCCAATCTAAGAGCGATGGCCTCCAATCTAAGAGCGATGGCCTGCAACCACAAGAGCGATGGCCTCCAACCTAAGAGCGATGGCCTCAAATCTAAGAGCGATGGCCTCCAACCTAATAGCGATGGCCTGCAACCCAAGAGCGATGGCCTCCAACCTAATAGCGATGACCTCCAACCTAAGAGCGATGGCCTCCAATCTAGGAGGCCAACCTAAGAGCGATGGCCTGCAACCTAAGAGCGATGGCCTCCAACCTAAGAGCGATGGCCTCCAACCTGAGAGCGATGGCCTCCAACCTAAGAGCGAGGGCCTCCAACCTAAGAGCGATGGCCTCCAACCTAAGAGCGACGGCCTCCAACCTGAGAGCGATGGCCTCCAACCTAAGAGCGATGGCCTCCAACCCAAGAGCAATGGCCTCCAACCTAAGAGCGATGGCCTCCAACCTAAGAGCGATGGCCTCCAACCTAAGAGCGATGGCCTCCAAGATGGCCTCCAACCTAAGAGCGATTGCCTCCAACCTAAAAGCGATGGCCTCCAACCTAAAAGCGATGGCCTCCAACCTAATAGCGCCGCTTTGCTGAGGTGGAAGAATGCCTGGTATGTCACGGTGCGGGCGCTGCGGGAGAAGTTCTGCAAGCGAGCCTCTGAGGTGGAAGACATGACTTTTCACCCGGGTGACTTTTCAAAGCTGGGGATTGAGCCGGACACGATTTGGATTGAATTTTACTGGTGAATGAGTTCTCTTTAAAATGTCTTGCTAATGGTGGAAAAGGGGGAACATTGTCGGAGGAGATGCTGCTACTGTATGAAAGGCATTGAAAGGCATTCGTTCGGATTGTATGAATCAACTGTCCAGATGGACACCAAAATACACGGACATGGGCTGCATTTCTCTTCACCCAGGGCATCAATAAGGATAATTCCAGGATAATTCCTTGTGAAGCAGACTTTGCAGCTCTTTGGATTTCTTTTCATATGGATGCAGATGCAGTCAGACTACTCTGCTCTTGCGCTGCCCCAGCAACATCCCCAGGCCCGCATCCGGAGCCGCATCCGCTTGCTGCACGTGCACCACCCGGAAGAGCAGCAACTTGTGGAGGCCAGGCAAAAGTGATTTTTCTCAAGAGATATGTTACAGGCAATGCGATGAAACAATATGAAGCAATAATCTACAAATGCCTGGAAGATCCTCCTCTCACACTGGGACAAGCGTTTCCGTTTCACATGCTCAGGTCTCAGGTCCGCAGGGTTCAGTGCCTGGCAAACGAATAGAAGAACACAGTGACTTATATAGGACCTTTCCTACTTGCTTCATACTGACTGCTAGGACTTTATGTCCTTCTACCGCTTCGTGCTGCTGTTGCTTTCAGAGAAAGCAATTCTGGAGCATCTGGGGAGCCTTTGGGTGGCACTGAAAGCTGCCCATGACGCCTTTCAGGCACATAGAGCGCACCGGAGGGCCCGGGCATCACCCTAGCTTGCATGAGGCTAGTAAAGATTCGTATTCTTCCGGACTTCCGGTTCCTTTTTTTATTGTTTTTCCGTTTGTGTGTTTCTGGATCTTGAAGTGAGGACAGGTTGGTTTCCGTGCTCTAAGTATGCCAGCTAAGGCTTAGACGACCGTATGACCGCCCAGGAATTTCTGGAAGGACTTCAAGCGCCTCTAGGTTAGGATGCTAAACCTCAAGGTGTTGGATCAAGGATCATGGGTGGTTGCATTCCTGCCAGGCTGGCTCTGACAGATGGTTTGAGGATCTTCCTACATCGTTGACATCGCAGATGCATCCGCGCTGGCTGGAGCTCTTTCCTTGCTTGTATGCTACTCTGAAGGCTGGGTCAAGGAACGGAATCACTGGCTCTGCTGCTCTCGGAATCACTGTCGATTTTCTGTTCCCTGACGATGAGGTTTTGCCCAACTCTTCGATTCTTTTGTTCGCAAGTGTTGGATGAGACTATCACTCCAAATGGGTGAAAGAAGGAGACTCGGTGTAGTTGATAAGCAGAGAAAAGCAAGACCAGGTCAACGGCAGTTTGATTTTACCGATAGGATCATATGATGGAGGCCATCGCTCTTAGGTTCCTTTTGCTATTCGGTTGGAGGCCATCGCTCTTAGGTTAGGTTTCTTTTGCTATTAGGTTGGAGGCCATCGCTATTAATTTGGTTGGAGGCCATCGCTATTAGGCTGGAGGCCGTCGCCACGAGGGTGGAGGCCATCGCGCTTAGGTTCTTTTTGCTATTATTAGGCCATCGCTATTAGGTTGGAGGCCATCGCTACTAGGGTGGAGGCCATCGCTCTAAGGTTCCTTTTGCTATTCGGTCGGAGGCCATCGCTATTAGGTTGGAGGCCATCGCCACTAAGGTGGAGGCCATTGCTACTAGGGTGGAGGCCATCGCTTAAAGGCGCTTCTATGAATCAGTGTTCTTGGGGCGTGAATCTGGGCGGGTTGCGGGGAGTTTTGGAGGAGATTCCGGAGCAGGTTCCAGATGAGGTTCCGGAGCAGGTTCTGGATTAGGTGGACCTGAAGATGAAGTTCCTTTTGTAGTTTTCTTGTTAAAGCTCTCCCTGCTGCAAGCCTAAAGACAATCGAAGCTGCCAAAGCTATTTCCCCGCCGCTGTGTGTCTTGAATCATGGTGTGGCAACACTTTCACACACATACACAAAGCCGCCACTAGATTGCTCAGACTAAGATGCTCAAGGCCTGCAACTCCGCTGCAGGATTTTGGTAGCATCCATCTTAAGAGAAGAAAGTAGCGTTCTTAGAGCTGGTGGGGATTTTCTTGGGCTCTTCTGAATACTGTCTACCTTATGCCCCACGAGGCTCAGTGTCCGCTGGAGCACTGGGTAGAGCTGCTCCGGAAGCACCGAGCGTTGCTGGAGATGCCAAAACAGGTTGGACACCCGGTGGAGGGGGACGAAAGATCGAGAGGTGTCTTTTGCGAGACCAACCGTGCAAAGTTTTGGAAGCCATGCCGTTCATCATCCGCAACTGTACCGTTTTCCGGAGATTTGAAGGGGAAACAGCAAGATTTGCGAGATTAGGTGTGCCTTGCAACAGAGAAATTCCCATGGTGAGCATCAGCAAACCTTCGAGTGGTCAGAAATTGCAGTCAGCAAATTGCACATTGCCCAATCAGGCTTGTATGTAGCACGAAGTCCTGCTTGCTGCCTGCTGCCCCTGCCTTGATTTGCAGATTCTGTGTATTCCTTCACCGAGCACGGACTCAAAACTGCCGGTTGCTCGAAATACGAAATACGGACTCGCAATCTTTTTGTGGCAGGTTGATGACATCTGGCCCGAACAAGCGGTGCAAGGTCTGACAAAAGGCTGCCGTCCCATGGAGGCTAGCCTTTTGTTGGCGCAGAACCACATGTGCAGTTTGGAGCCTCTTTGTTGTTCACTCTGGAGGGCTGCGCTGTCAAGGTTGATAGGTCTAGCTGCAGTGGCAGGAAGACCTGTGCTTTTGACGGTGCCTTCGGTTCTGATGTTCTTTGTCCTGTAGTCGGTTAGCGAACGACATTCACTGATTCACCGAACAGATCCAGCTATGTGTGGATGGTAGACTCGTCCAGCCTACTTTGGTCCATCTCACACGCTGCGAAGCCAGTGAAGTACATCAGGTTTTTGAGAGATAGGCTTGTAGCAGTTGCAGCAAACCTCAGTTTTGATTGGGTGTTTCCAACTGATTACCAGACGGTCTCTGTCGATTTTCCAAGCTTAGGCAAAAACAAATTGTAGGCGTTTGCTTGTTTGCTTCTCTTGCATCTTTCTTTTCCGCTTCTTTCGCATGAAGCACTTCTTTTCCTCAGGATGACCCACCACTTCTGTTGCACGCCACAGGCCTTGCCAGAGCCCATGGCGGAGCCCGGCGAAGCCCTGACGCTGCTGGCGGTGCTGGTGCGGGGGCTGCAGGGCAGCGGGAAATCCACACTTTGCCGTGCGCTAGCGCATTTGACTCAAGGGGAGTGGATCAACCAAGATGAAGTGGCTGCAGGAGAGGTGATCCAAATCATTTCAGATGATGACAGTCATATGAGTCTACGAGGATGGATTGTGAGGGTGCTCTTGCTCCACGTTTTAAATCATCAACTCTTGCGTTCAGCTTGCCATTTGCCATCTCCCAAAGCTTCCGTGAGGTGAATCAGTGACCCCTCATTCCTCCATCCCCTTTCGACTAAAACGAGGAGCTCGCAGGGGCAGCAGTGCCAAAGAGCTCTTCTTAAAGGCGATCCAAGCTGCGGCAGCCAAGCCACATGTGTCATGGCCACCATGTGCAGGTGAATGGAGGAGATGAGGGAATCGACCTACCAAAGATATAAACGTGACAGATTGCATGCACAGCAAAAGCCACAAGGGACCACAAGGGATTACTAGTTGTTCAATTTGCTTTAGTTTTGCCTTTAGAAGTACATCACGCAGAACGCCCGACTGAACGACGCTAGGCCTATCCTGCGACTAATCCTGCCTTTTTGTTCAGGACTCTGGTGGTTTACCTGTGATCATACAGTCTTGTCTCTAGGGTTGTGATGTACAGAGATGTAGTGTCCATGAATCATTGGAGTTGTGGCAAAGGTAGGCAGGGGAGGTCGAAACTCAAGGTTCCACACGTTCTTGAGGATCCAGAAATTCTCACCACCGACCAAGACTATTTGATTTGAATGAAGTGACTCCTGCAAAGGTGGTCAATTTAATGCTTGGATAGAAGGTGTGATGCTGCTGTTTGGGCATGGCGGATGGACAATTTAGCCCACCCCTGCCATTGAAGATCGGGGACTCTCTCAAATGCTGTGGGAGGTAAATGCTGTGCGTGACATTTTGGTATTTCCATGTGGTATTCTTTGACTTAAGTATATATATATAACTCCTTCCACTGTTATTGAAACCGCGAGCATCTTAGGTGCGCTACATATTCATCGACAAGATCCACATCTTGAAACAGCACCGCGACGATGTGGTGTCGGCAGCCACTGGGCTGGCGTGGGCGGGACGTTTGTGCGATGTGCTGTAAGTGCGGTTTCTTGAGACCAAACTCATGCAAATCATCTGGAATCCAGAAACAGAGCACGAAAAGAATGCAGATGAACAGCCTTTAGAGTTGGAGAGGTTGGGACCACAACATCGCAGATAGTGAGATGTTTGAGGAATCTATGAAGGTGAATCCCACGCGCCAGTTGAGGTGACACAAGGCTTTCAGGGCCGTGAGGGGCGGGTGGCTTTGGTCCTGCTGAACCTTTGCCATCCGGATGATGATGAGGGCGACTATCAACAGGCACAACACCCTGCACCTGACCCCACCAGTGGATGTCCCATTTGATGCCAAGCACATATTCCTGGCCTCCTTTAGTCCAGTTCACCCCGTTTCGTCCAAGACTTTGGCATCGAAGCGTTTTGGCTCGAACCTCACTCAACTTTGGTAGTAAGAATGCTCCTAGTAGTAAGGCCAGGAGCCCCTAGTAGCGTCCTTTGCTCTTGGTAGCGATGCCCTTCGTTCCTAGTAGCTTTTTGCTTCTAGTCAAGGTTTCACCCTAGATAACTGGTTGCTGGTGAAAGGTGCCCTCAAAGTGACTTCGACTTCCCTTATGGTCGGCCATGTGCTGTCAAGCAAGGGTCACTTCTCCCGTGTCGCAGGTTTTGGAGCACTCAGGCCTCAGGCAGTGAATTTCTATTGAGTATGCTCCAGAAAGAAAACAAACAAACACACATTTAAATACACAACACACATGCTGCATTGCAATTTTCTATTCACTCGAGACGATATTTGTGACATTCCACGATTTTGCAAACCACATGGCAGACAAAAAACCTTTGAACCCTACTAGGAACAAGAAGCTACTAGGAGCAAGGGCATCGCTACTAGTAACAAAGGGCATTACTACTAGTAGCTTTCTACTAGGACCTGTTCTATGATGCGGTTTTGCTTGATCCCCAATCCACTCCAGGCAGCAGAGCGCTGCACCGCTCGGATCTCACAGCGTGGCCTGGGACATTTGTCGCTGGTGCCCCAGGCTACCGATGCAGCTGCCGTGGTCCGTGCTGCAGGGGAGGAGACGACCCGCGTGCGGCCGCGTGCGTGGACCGTCGGACGGGGGAAGATGACCGGCGAAGCTGGTTTGGTTTCGGGAAAGTCATTGGCAAAAGACAGGTTGGAATGTTGATTCTGGTGGATCGAGAGTAGAAGCCGGCTCTCAGGGATAGTATTCAACAGACTGCTTTAGAAGGGAAGCCACTTTTCTCTATTGTGAGGTCACGCTAAGCCTCATGAGAAAGGGAAGACTGGTGTTGTAGTGGCAACTACTGTATTTTGAATGACGACCTTGCTCAATCCGCACCAGACATGTTGCGAAAGGGCACGTTTCAGATTCCACATCATGAGACGCTCATGCTGAGAATATTTTTAATTCTAATAGCTTTTTGTTACTAGTAGTAAGGCACTTGTTACTACTGGCGAGGTACTTGTTACTAGTAGTAACAAGGACGCTATATCGTTCCAAAATTGCTCCTTTCCTACAAAACACCTCTCATCCCCCTGTTTGTTCTTCGATTTTCGAGTGGAGCTTGCAGGATGCCGAAGTCCTCACGGATGAGGATGGGCAGAACAGGGAGGTGGCATGAAGCACAAATGGACCACCAATCGTCCACTTGGGTTCATCTTTTTCGAGCCATGCCTGTGGTTGGTAGATGAACAGTTTCCAAGCTCTTCATCCATTTCGTTGAACCACTAGGAAGTGGACTGAACGTGTTTTTCATCCTTCACCATCCACACTCACTTGGACCTGCAACGACATCAAGTACCAGCACACCACTGAGAAGAATGTGAAGCGAATGGACCTTGAGATGTGATGAGATGTGGTCATGTTCGTTGACATTTAACCAGTCTGGTTTTGCCGCCTTCGGGAGAATGCATCATGGATTTGTGATACTGGAATGAATTCATGGTAGAAACTGTTAGAAGTTAGAAGCATATGTCATATTGACCAGACAACACCTTGTAGCGCACCTGCCGAGTTTTGCGCTTGTTTGCGCCTGGGAGGAGAAGTGCAGCTTCGACCTTTGTGCAGATTTGGACCTTCGCCTCCCACGGCTGATGCTCCTCGCTGAGGCCATGAAGACTCTTCAGCAGGCACTGGGACGATGGAAAGACACTGGGTGGAACAGCGGAACTGGCACTGAATGCTCTGCGTAGCATTCAATGGACGATTTCCTTCAGGCGGTTCAGGTGTCACTCTTGGCTGGGTCCATTGACTCTGCACATTGTGGTGCCCCCTTTGTGCAGATAGGATCACGGCACTAAAAGCAAGACCTCTAGATGGATGGGCAATATTTTTGAAGCTTGCAATCTCTGCCAGCTGTCTATATAACCTTGGCAACTCTGCTCTTTGAGGGCAACTTCTTGGAGACCTTCAGTGAGGAGCTCATGGAAGAGGCAGTGCAAGTTGCGCAGAACCACGAGCTGAAGCTCTCGGCCAGGCACCAGCTGGTGGCGATCCAAGCACGCGACTTTGGGGAAGCACATGCCCCGCACTGTGTATCATTTCGTGTGTTGTGCTGAGTTCTGATCATGGATGGTCCGCTCCAGCGTATGCGCAACAAGCCGCAAGACAAATCTTCGGACATGGAAGAGTGCCGAGGACCCAAGTACGCTCTGTGTCTTGTCATTCAGATGCTTGGCCGTCTTCATGTGCACACAACTCTGCGCACAAACTGAATGTCTGTTCCAAATACCTGCTGAACATGTGCCGTGCTTACCTACGTTGGCACTGTCAAATCAGCCATGTGTGGCCGTGCACAAATTCCTCCAAACAGTCAGCCTCATGAGGCGGAAGGGGCCTGAGATTTTCACATTTTTGCCAGGTGGAAGACCCTCTACTGGATGGTGGCTTTGGACTGGAGCTTTCTTTGGCACGACTCTGCCCGAGAACTGCGGGAGATGCTGGCCGAAGCCATCGACATGTGTCCGGATCTGGCGCCGATCAACGACCCACACGTACACCGGGTGGCATCTATTTGGGAGGTGGTTACATCAGCGCAGGCGTAGAGGATACCGCTTCGCAAAAGAAACAAGAAAGAGGTGGAAGTTCGTTCGAAGTGATGGATGCATGCCTTTGGCCGCGCAAGAACTGCAGAGGCCATTACAAAAATAACCTTCCTTTTGAGCACAGCTACACATCTATCCGCATCTATCATCTCTTCTTTGTGCTCCTTTCATTCTGATCATTAGTTTTCCATTTCGATCCGAGGTAACCATGCTGTGGCTGGGCGCCTCATCGGACCCGGAGTTGGAAGCTCCGTTTGCACCACTCGAAGGTGTTGAAGTTGAGGTCACACTGCAAGCGGCTGCCTGGATGAAAAAGGGATGAAGTGAGAGAATGGGGATGATGGAACGATCCTGGGGGCAGTGCAGTGCCAGGCCTTGTTCCAAAAGGGTTGTAGGTTCAGGTTGACTAAATGTGGATCGTCTATCTTCATGCTTTCTGTATACATGTTTCTTGGGGGATCATGCCGTGAGGGCCGTGCACGAAACTTCGCCTGAATTTCCAGCTGTTGGCCAATGTGCAACTACGAGGATTTGCAATCATGTTACTGTATATATAGTAACAAGAAGCTACTAGGAGCAAAAGGGCATCGCTACTAGGAGCAAGGACGCTACTAGGGGCTCCTGGCATCGCTACTAGTAGCGTTAACTTATATATATAATTGACTTTACCCAGCCTTTTAGACGGACCTACGGCCTCCAAAGGAGATTCTTGGATCCGGAGGCCCCGACTGAGGCACTAAGAAGGAATGACCATCTGCACCATGTACCTATGATGGGACTTTCAAGGTTCTGAGTTCTAAGATTCTAAGAATGATGTCTAGCTTTCTAGTAGGCAAACCGCATCTCATGTGTGAGTCTAGGATTTGTCGCGATTTCATCACCCAGCCCCTTCACCTGGATGAGGTTTGCTATGATGCCACCTTGGGTTTAGTCGCTCTCCGCGCCTCACTGGAAGAGCCTTTTGCCTCGCTCTGCCAAAACCAGCATCCGCACATCACCGTGGCGAAGGCTCAAACCAGCTCAGGAAATGCACAGGAAGTGCGGAGCGTAGAGCTTCATTTGATATTTCTTTTGTGTTTCATCTTGGGGTCGGTAATTGTATGCTAGAAATCTTACATGTCTCGGGCCAACAACTTGAAGTCTCTAACACAATGCGACCTGACTGGCCACCCCACCGTGGATTGTCAACATATGCAGCTTGGAACGTTGAGCTATTGTGCAGTGCATTGATTCGGCCACTATATTACCATGGCAGAAAATCAGGACTCAGGACCCCTGCCTGATGCTGTTGTTGGATTCCCATTCCCATGCTTGGGCTACGTGTCAAAAGCAAGGGAACACGGCAACTTCCCGAGACGCTGGATGACCAAGTTCCCGTCAGTCTTCCTAAGATCCCTATAAAATCCTATAAATATTGTATTTACAAGACGATATATATATATATATTTTAGTTGCTCCTCGGCCGACTCAAACGATCTTCCCATCCACTCGGTTTCAGGGGCCGGGCGTGGCCGCCAAGCAGTCCAACGATCTGCTGGAAAGAGCGTCCATGGGTGACTCAAGCGTGGAAACCCGGTCGCTGACCCCACTGCGGGTCAAAGGACTTGAGGGGGCTGTGGAAGCAGAGTGCTGATCCCGATCACTCCTTTCTTCTTCCAGAGTTTTGCGTGAGCTGCGTGTCAGGTACATGTTGTGTAGTTTCTTGTTATTTTGAAACAGTGCCACATTCAAGCTGCGTGGCGTGGAGGTGGATGAAGTTCAATCTTCATGTTGAACACCAAGGATACCAGCTTCAACCCCAGCCACTCATCAGTTGGAGCGTGCCATGAAATCATGAAGCTACATGGGTCAGCTCTTAGGACCTTAGGAGGTATCAATGTATCAAGAATCTGTGCGCCCTCCAAGCTTTGTTTCCGCAGGACGGGTGCAGCGGCAGCTGGCAAGCGAGTCGTTGGCTGCGGCGGCTGCGAGCTCCACGCAGCTGCCGGAGGGACATCCGGTGTCTTGGAGCGAGGACAGTGATTCCAAGACTCAACACGTTGGAGTAGAAAGGGCAAAGACAAGTCGTCGTTGTTCAGTCTTGAGTTCGGAATATTTCTCTGGTTTCTATGTTGTTTTTTTGTGCTCGCTCTATGCTGGCGCATTCTTTGTTCTATCTCTCTTTCTCTCTCTCTTTCTCTCTTTGATCCTCCGCTGATTCCTTGCGGGCGAGTGGTAGAACGAGGTCTAAGGGTCTTTCTATGCCCTGAAGAGCTGATGCACTGTTTTGTGGTCCAATTCTCAGAGGCTTATGTTTCTTCTTTCCTGCAAGCAGTTGGGACCCTGTTGACTCTTAACTATATACTTGTATTCACCGAGTAAATTTCCTTTTTGGGGCTGCAGCAAGTCTATGAAACATGTCCCTTTGGGCCACTTGTTGTGGTGAAGTACCATTTGATTTGACAGTCCTATGACCTTTGGAGATACGACCAAAGTGAGTTGAATGAAGAGTCGGTGGCCAATCTCCAAATCCGGTAGGAATGAACCTTCCATGCACACGAGCAGCTAGCCGCTAGCCACCTTTCAACCTCCCAAAGCACACAAGCATGTCTGTGCTCCTGGGAGCCCTCTTCACCAGACTTCAGGTTTGTGGGCAACAGCCAGGAACCCTACAAAAGATTGGTTGTGGAGTTGTTTTTGGTTCCAGTTTAGCTCAGCAAGGTCTGTGAGCTTGGGCTGGTGGCCACTCGGGAAGCGACCGATGTTTGGATGACTCATGTGCCTTGGCAGGACATGAGCCCTTCGCAGCGGCTAGCATGTTTTGGGATGTTTATCAGAGACCAATTGGGTCAATCGTGTTTTTCGTTCGATCCTTTGGAGATTCCAGCCACATAGAATCAACCCAGCTTCAGAAGGCAGTTGCACAACTGACATGAATGTTCGATCGAGCAGAGCTTGGAACTTGGAACTTTCACATCACTGGACAATGACCCAGCAGAAGGGGCCAACAAAAACACCGAAGCAAGAGAGATCGCTGTGTGTTTCGTGTGCTTCAACGTTTGAAGGTCCGGTGCCCTAAGGAGTCCCACATCCGAGTGAAGAAGATCTCGCGAATCCTCGACAGCCTTTTGTGCCCGGTCTCGCAGCCACTTCTACACTGCAAAGGCTGGACTGTCCCACACTGGGCCAAGCATATGCAGAGAGCTGCATGGTCAGTCACTCAATTTGGTGGTAGTCTTTCACTAAGTCATTATCTTGTTAAGATGATTTCCGCGTTTGTATGGTGTCGCATCAGCAAGGAAAACATCATATTGATAGTGTGGACCTCTCAGTTGGCCCAAACACTTCAATCACATTTCCCTGATTCACAAGCCACAGTTTTTACCGATTCTCAGCATGTCTGTGATTCAATTGGGAGAATCTGTGACAATCGCCGATTGTGCTGGCTTTATACTGCCATTGACCGTACGACCTGTGCCATATTTAGAGTAATGACACTGCCGACAAGGCAGCCAAACAGTGTCCCCGCTCTGATCACTCAGAATTCCACTTGTGCCAGCGTATTCAGAAGTTCCAAAAAGACATATCTGATGACCAGGTTGCTTTTGTCCGATATCTTATCCAATTGAACCACATGCCAGGAAGGAAGAAGACGCACAAAAGAAATTTGCAGTCGATCTCACCCCAGAGGAAACATTTACCCTATCGCGGCACAGCTGTCTACAGATCATCAATTAGTTTGTCAGACACCTCTTCAAGGACCTCTCCATGAAATGATTGCAAGAGTGTGTTCTTGGGGAGAAGACTACTACGCATTGGCTGTCTGGCAATTCTTTTCCACGCTTGCTTGGCCACATGTGGAGTGGATCCCTCACTAGACCTGGGGTGTTCTTGTGACAAAGCTGACGTTTGCGTTTACCCTTCATACCGACCTTCTATTACGACAAATGATGGATTAAAGACAATGATCGCGTCAGCAGGCCTTACGATGATTTTAGTCCTCAGGTTAAATCGCTGTCACCTCAGTGACGTTCTATGTGTGCACAAGCAGATGGACTGTGCTTTATTTATCACACAATTCCTGTCTACCTTTTCTGGTCGAGAGTTATTTCCCACAAAAGGGTAATTCTATGAGCTTGCTGCATTTGGGCTTCCATTCAACATTCGTTGGTGGGTGGCCAGTGTGTCGAAATTATCCTATATAAGTCTTCCACCAGCATTCAACAGATTCAACTCTACCCAGACCAAGACACACAGCGGTGCCATTCGGTGCCTGCTACTTTCAATCGACTGCAAATTTGTCAACGCACTATCTTCCGCAACAACTCACTTCCCCCATCTTAAACATGCCGAGGCATCGATCATCGGGTTAAACTGCAAGCACAGCTGCGCAATGCGATGCGTGCAGGTAAGTCCTTGAATTCGTACATTCATGTCTTGTCGTAACTAGTCGTCTAATTTTTGCTTTAGGTTTTAGTCCTGAGATGCTTGGGTGTCTTTGCATGTGTCTCATGTCAGACATTTTTGTACAATATTATCACCCACCTGAATCAGTTTAACTTGGCTCACCCAACTTGCTTCACCCAGTTTGCCCAGAAGGGCAACATCAACATACCTACTCCATATACCGTAATATACCTATTTAATATACTCGCCTTTCGCTTCGCCTTTCCAAGATCGGCTTTCGTGTGGCCGACCAACGCGTCAGGCTGGCCGCCGGCCTTGCGGGGGAAGAAGTGGTTCACCTTCCACGAGCGACCCCTGAGCGCCGAGAGCCGACAGGCCCTCGAGGCACTGCAGCGGAGCGGCAGCTGCTCCACGCTCCACGCGGGCGTGGCCTACTTTCAGCTGGAGGCTTGGCATGTGGCCAGTGTGGCCTGAGCGGCGAGTCCAGGCTCTCAAAATTCAGAGTTTCGTGTTTTCGCAGGGCCTGGAGACCTTGGACCTCCAACAGCTCTCTGAACGCCTCCAGCAGTCCCTGGCCGAACCTCGCTTGGCGGAAGCACTGCAAGGTGCGCTCTGTGCACTGGACGCGGAGCCGACGGCGGCGGAGTCGCCCAGCAGCCCGGAGCAAGGGAGCTATGGGGGGTAGTAGGTTGGGTGTTGGGGGTGTAGATGGGGATTGGAACTCGTGGGGAGTATGAGAATGTTGGATACTTAGGTTTCAGACCTACAGAATGCCAGTTGGATCAGATATTCAGTTGATGGTACAACCCAGGAGTTTTTCTGCTGGTTTAACATGGTTTAACACTTCTTATCCAATTTCTGCTTGAGCAAACCTGCAGGTGATTGAGTGGAGCTCGTTGAAAGAAGGACACTGAGAATCTGTCAGATCTTTTCAGATGTGTTGTGGAGTACATAACTTCAGTCTGAATAGGCTGCTAGCACAAGACTCCAACTGCTTGAGTCCATTGAAGTGGAGCTGAACTACTCAGGAGGGAGGGCAGTTGGTACTTTCCGAGGTTGCAGGGAGAACCCATGACAACCCGGAATGCAAAAAACTTACAGCCCTCAGAAATCTCCCGTCGCACAGTGAAAGCGCGAAATCGTCCTGATTCAGGTTTCTACGTGCAATGCAAGTCAGCTGGCAGCAAGGAGCTGGGCTGTTGATCATGCTGTCCATCAAAATTGAAAAATACGGTGGCCATCGCTAGTAGCGGGGAGTTGGAGGCCATCGCTATTGCTGTAGTATCTCATATACTCGGATAGTGGATTTGCCTAGTTTGGTTTGACCTGGCTGAAAGAGATGCGCTGGCAGTTCCAGATCGCCAGCTACAGCATCTTGCTCCCAGAAAGGGATACGACAAGCAGCCAGGGGAGAATATGGAGGACACCATGCGCTTTACCATGGTTTACCCACCAAGCTTCTCACTTTGTCTTTGGGGTCTCCCTCTATTCCAATGCACACTCCTGCCTGAATTGAGGTTAATTGTATCTTATCCAAAAAACACAAGCACAACGATCTCAATTCCGTTGCCGTGCCTTCCTTTTCGCAGACGACAGGAGCAGACGATTGCCCTCCGGCAAGCGCTCGCCAGGGCTGTGGCCGCAGCAGTGGGTTGGATTCCTGAAATCAAGAAACCGGACCACACGCTGTCCGCCCAAGTGAAGGACTATATACTGGGTTTACAGTGGTTTTCCCTATGTCCTGGTCCACTGGTGGTGCGAAAAAATATCATCCTTCGACGTAACAAAATTCCATGCTCTTTGCATGGATCGCGTCTTCCATGCTGGTCCCCCCCAGAAGAGCATGAAAGACGTAAATAAGTTTTTGGCAGGGTGTTCTTTTCTGGTTTGTTTTTTGGGGTCACTCGAATGTCCACACACACACATAGGGTTTCTTGATGCTCACACCTCTGCTGGCTCTTCATGAGAGGATGACTGGATCCTGCTGGGGCTTGTCATCCAGCCAACTGAGCAAGTGAAGCCCAAAACAAAGGCAGGATAGCTGGAGTCGTGCGGGAGCAGGTGTCCTGTGAGAGCGCAAAGCTTGGATTTCAGTGCGTGCTGGCTTGAGACCTTGGCTTCTGTCCAAACAGACCACTTGGGGATTCAGCTGCTGTGCCTCAGCTCGATCTCCCAAGCTGCGCAGTCTTTTTGGTGCCCGTGCAGGTATCTGTCCAGGCGGCCCCTCCTGGGCCGGCAACGACACCAGCGCAGGCGCCAACTGCACCGGCTGCGCCGCAGATGGACAGTGGACTGCTGCAGATCGATGGCGCTTCACTCGAAGGCCGGGCATGTGGATAGTGCGTGGAGTCGGTGGATGGTTTGAACTTACGACTTACGACCCACTTAGCTACCGCAAGTGACTCAAGTGAAAGGTTCTTTGCCTTTCTATGTTAAGACTTGCCCCAACACCACATCTTAGCCGGTTCTCTTACTTTGGTCATGGTGTGCCAGTGCCAGGAGGTGGCCAGTTGCTTCGGAACTCTGTGGCCTATGCCGTGACGCTTCAAAGAGGTGTTTGCATCAAGAACGTCCGCGGTGGCAGGCCCGACTTCAGCGGACAGAAACAGAACAAGAGCAGAAGCAGTTCCGGTCGCCTGAAGTTACGATCCACCATTGAACATGTTCAATGTTCAATGATGGCACTTGCTGCTATCGATCGTTTGGTCTCCCTCATCTACGGTCTCAGCATGTCTCTTTCCTCGTGAGGAGCACTCCAGGTTTGCGCCCGGGACACCTGGCTGCGTTGGATGCCTTGGCCTCCATCTCCAAAGCGCGCTTCGAGGGCGGTGTTGTGGGCAGTGCTCACGTGACCTTCCACCCACTCTCGCCGGTGCAATGCACAGAGGAGGGGCCTTTGGAGGTGGACGCTGGGACAGGCTGGTCATTGGGAATGGGAGCTGAGGAAGGAGTGGAACATGGAGATGGGGATGGTGCAGAGGGTAGCAGGCAGGATTTGTTCGTTAATCTTTTTGAGAAAGGGAAGTCCAGATCAGGATACAAACCTTTTCTCCCACTCTTGCTGTCGTGTTTGGTGGATTTCACTGTGAGCAGATGTTGCCGCAAAACGGCAAGGAAGACCAGCAGGCCGAAACGAAGGTCTTGGGATTCAGACAGAGCGGCGGCGCGGCGGACACCAAGGGGGCACTGTCTGAACTGGTTCAACATAGGATGATAGTGAAATGCAGAAAAACTGTCTTCTTCTCATAATGTGAGAGCTGTAGAGATTTCCAGTTTTCCAGGGAACGTCGGCATGCGATGGCTCCAATGGCTGCCCACTTCGCTTGTACTCTGTCAGGTGGCTCCACCATGTTGATGCTCCAAGCCTTGCTACCGTGCATGCTTGCGGACTCAAAAAACCGGGAGGTGGAGGTCATTTTCAAAGGTGGCACCAATGTGTGCTCTCCTCCTGGCAAAGGACAGGTCTGGGATGTGCTCAGACCACAAGTAGGGTCAACAGGCTTTGGTCCATGTTCCATCGAGAATCTAGTTGCCACTGATTGGACTGGTGTCGTATCGCCCCCGCCTTTTGTTTTTCATCATGACTGGAGAGGCACAGTTGATAACAGATACTTGTAGTTTTGGACGACCGCCAGATCACAAGACCCAAAAATCCCCACAGGCCTGGCTAACTAGCTTGGGCCACAATGACTGTCATAGACTGCATAGACTGCCAAAGAGATAAAAGGTGAACGCAATGACAAAGAGGGAACAGTATATAGATGTCAACTGGTCGCACACGCACCCTCGCACTCTCCTGAGAGCATCCTCGCCAAAAAGTCCTCAGTTGAATGGATTAGCTTCCACATGTTGATGTCAATACAACATTAAGTCCTAACAATATTGGAACCAAATTAGTAGTGCAAGCGCTTCTTCAAAGAAGTTCCCCCCCGCACTCAGGCCTCAGACGTGGGGAGCTTCCTTGAAGAAGCGTGAGCTATCCTGCGTCCATATGTGGTAGCTACTTAAGCTACTAGCTACCATTATACTTCTACTAGCTACACCTCTTCTATTAGCAGCCTACCCCCCCATATATATATATATATAGCGCTCAAGAGATCTTCATGGCTGACATTGCCCTTGAGGACACTTCGAGATCAATGCGCCGCAGGCAGAGTGATGAAAGGGGCGAGTGGCAATGGAGAATCGCTACTAGGAACAGGTGCAACGCTACTAGGAGCAAGGACCCTACCAGGGGCTCCTGGCATCGTTACTAGGCATCGCTACTAGGAGCAAGGACGCTACTAGGGGCTCCTGGCCTTACTACTAGGAGCAAGGATGCATAAAAAAACATATCGTTCCTGTTCAATGCTGAACAAGAAGCCATTCATGCATATTCATTCATCCACCTTGCCCTGTTGGATTTGCCAATCTTGTTGTTTCTTTTTGCATGATGTGGGGATTTTCGCAAATCTGTTGGATCAGTTGGATCAACTCAGTGCGTAGCTAATTACTATAGTTGTTGTTTGGACATGACTATGTACAGCTTGTCAGGTGGACTATGTACAGCTTGTGCTCTTCCCAATGCTACGCCAGCTCTTCGGCGTGAGGGTCCAGATGGAGGTGGGATCTGGCATTGTCACAGGATTTTGATCCCGAGCTCAGGTGCTGACATCGGAAGCCTCTTTACTGCCTGTATGCTTTCAAACATAGCTTGAGGATCTTGATGGCCCAACCATGTGTCGACTCACGTGTTGACTCAGATTGAACAAGCATGGTGGATACCATGGCCCGCAACCCCACGTCGTCACAGGGGGAAGACGCCACGTGTACTACGCAGGTGCTCCAGCGAGGCTTCCTCCAAGGAGGTGGCCAAGTCCGTGTGACCCTCCCAGCGGGGAACCCCTGGCCGCTGCCAGCCATCGAGGTCACAGAGGTTGGAGAGATCCGGAAGGCGGACATAGACGGAGACTGGAAACAACTACCATGGACCATCACAATTAGCATCTGGGAATTATTGTTCCTTTTTGGGAGTCTCATGCCATGAACCCTTAGGCTAGCTCTTGGCAATGGGTATGTTGAGCTGAAATCGTCCAGGTGTCAGGAACTGCATATCGCTCTGCCAACGTTCCTTCCAACGTGCTGCAGCGGATGTTGGAAGGCTCTTCTTTCAGCATTGCTGACCTTGAATCCGTTCTTCAGAGCTGCATTTTGACATACCAGCAGCAGTGGGTTTGCTTGAGAAGTTGTGGTGACACAGCGTGTGTAGTGGCATGTTGAAACAGGTCAGGTCTAAGTGTCTGAGTCCCCGATCAGCACGGTTTCTTCACAGATCAGCCCGGTTTCTCTCATTGAGGGCAGCTAAAGAAGCAGCCTGCTGGCGCTGCTGTGCTTCTCCAACACCGTTTGCCAGACGTCAGCCCCGAATGGAACTGTCAGGAGTGCATTCAAATGGGATGTAAGGCTTTGTCATCCTCCTTAGGTTGATGCTTTCTACACCCGTTTGTGGAGGTGTGTTTTGTTCTAATTCTACATGGTCAAGATTTGATCTTCTACCTTTTGGTTTGAACCACCAAACGAGTGATACCATGACAGTTTGATTTTGAAGTTTGGATGCATACTTGGTTCTTTTGGTTTGGTGTTCCAACTTGACCTGAAACATAGGACGGTATATTTTTCATATTCGTTCCTTATGAATGACCACACCGGCACGTTTGCTTGGTCTGAAAACACCCTGATTCATCTCTTCCACGTCCGCTTTTTGGGAGGGCATACGGCATACGACTAAAGTGAGTTTTCTCTATGAGGTTCAATCAAGAGTTGTCAACCATATTCAACCATAATATTTGGATCATGCATGTTCATATCCTCATATCTTGGCTTCATCATGGTCAATCTTCAACCTCCCAAACAGGACTGCCCCAGTGCTAACGGTGCAGACGCCTGTGGCCTCATTGTGGCCTTCGAAACGAGCCAGGGATGCCGCTTTGGAGGTGACTCCATGGGACGTCTCTTGGTGCCGAAGAAGCCGTTCGCACCGGGGCGATCGTGGAGCCTCCGATGCCATGGACCACCCCGAGGAAGGGTTTCCAGCAGTTCCTGTGGACCAAGGCAAAGGCACCATGGCAGAGGTCGTTGGAGAAGAGGCGGTTCGGCATGCCTGGGCGGCCTTCGAGCGTGGGGGATGCTGCGATGAGCACTTGGAGGCCTGTTGGTTGAAGGCATTGTAGAATCGTGGCATTGAAGGTGGAAGCATCAAACAATGAGGATGACACATAGCCAGAACTGAAGCTGATTTGATGGATCTGATATTTGATGCAACCTCAGGGATCATTGGCATGTTGTGATCTGGAACAAGTTGCTCAAAACAACATCAGTTCTCTTCAATCCCAGCAGTCCAATAAAGCCCAGCCATGCCCAGCCTTTCCCTGTGGCTTACTCGCTCTCTTGAGCGCTTGCATTGCGCTTGCCCCCTCCTGAATGGGGAAGTATTCCTCCCTCAAAGATCAGGACCAGCTTGTGGAGCCCCTAGTAGCTTCTTGTAGTATGGCCAGGACCCCTAGTAGCGTCCTTGCTCCTAGTAGCGATGGCAGGATTCTTGTTCCTAGTAGTATTCCTGCCCGGAAGATCAGGACCAGCTTGTGGTCTACATGGCCTTGGCAAGAGGCACTTCCCGGTTGCGCTTGGGATTGCAGCCTTCGCTGCACTTCCAGACTGTATCTGAGCTGCATGAATTCAACGGAATCCAAACGGTACACGCACATACACACTCGGGATAAAGTACGTACTGTATGGTTTGTATGCCACTTGCCCCAACGCCTAGGTACAAAAACCGCCAGAGTCAACCAGTTACAACATGTAGTACGCAAGGCGGTCCGAACATCCTCAAAGATCCTCAAAGAAGGATTACAGTATCGTAAGGCTCAAAAGCTTAGATCGACGAACACTTGACTGCAAATCTCAGAGCCCGTGCGAAGGTGAGCAACTTGGGAAGTATCGAGTCATCACGAGCAGGTGCACAGTTGGGGGCATCCAGCTGTATCACAGGTAACTGATGAGTGTCTTTGTTAGCACCGGTCTGATCAGCACCTGCGGTGCCCCCTGCAGTACTTAAGACATGACAAGACGGAGAGCAAAGGACCAAGGGTTACACACACACACACACACCCACACACGCACACACACACACACACGCACACACACACACACGCACGCACGCACACGCACACGCACACGCACACGCACACGCACATGCACACGCACACGCACACACTCGGCAAATGATGCATACGATCTGATCGCTGCAAGCCCTGAAGAAGCCTCGGTATGTTTAAACGCCTAAGTAGTGCAAAGGGGTCTCACGGTCTCACCATCGAAAAACCTGAAGGTCAAGTGGTCCAAAGAGAGGCTCCAAGATTCCAGGTTTCAATACTCCAAAGGCTCCAAATCCAAGGTCGAACTACGTGCAAAGTCTGCAGACCTGTCTGGACCAGCCTGAAATCGAGAGTGGAGCGTGGCTTCTCAACATCACAACCGGATCAAAGTGCAGGTGCAAGAGTTGGCGTCCCATTTCTCTTCCAACTGATGTCTGTAGTTTCGTTGGCGCGGATGGGAAATCAGTCTCGGTGCCCCCTGCAACTACACGGCGATCTAAAACCAAAGGTTATCTATGAGTCCAAGGTGTGCACACGCTTTGATATTGGGTTTGCAGTTAACTCAGCTCCCAGGTCGAAAAGGGCGATGGAACAGAAAGGTGGCAAGGTCCGCAGAAAAGTATTGCTTAACAAAGGTTTACGCACATCTACAGCTCACGACACGGCGGTGGCGAAACGAACGGCGCGGCTCATCGGCAGGAAAAGGTTTTGGGGAGGTATCGTGCAAGGACCATGAACCAAAAAATGGAGAAGTGGAGTCACAGCTTTCT